CTATAAGGCTTTAGTTCTTGTGTATTATGTTATTCTAACCATTGGAAACTTGTGTCTGGTTGATTCTCTTGTGTTTAAGCCATTTGATCCGATTTCGGAGAAATCTTTTTCTTTAAGCAAATCCTCTTGAAGATCAAGAGGCATACTTTGCTTGAGGGCAAGCAAGAATCTAGTTGGGGAGAGTTGTTAGATGCCCAATTTTGCTTATTTGAGCTATCAGATGTGGGCACCTTTCACTCCTTTTTGTCGAGAAAGTGTTCAAAACCGCCCTTGCTTTTGTTGATTTGCAATATTATGTGAAATGATATTGGTACCCTTAATTTGTGTGTTATTGTGCAGTAATTAGGCATGAAAGAGTAGAAATTGAAGACACAAGAAGTATGACAAAGGAATCAAGAAAGAAAGCAAATAAAAGCAAGCTTGTTAGGCGAAGCACTAGGGAGTGAGGTAGCAAGTGTTCGCTAGGCGAGCACTCAGCGAGCTGCCAGCGAACACTCCCAGACTTGGACATAACCAAAAATATCAAATTTCGCTCTGGCGAGTGAGGTAGCGAAATGCTCGCTTGGCGAAGCTCCAACGAGCAAGTAGCGAACACTTCCAGTGGCAAAAGGACCAAAATTCGCTGTAGCGAGTGAAACAACGAAGGACTCGCCTAGCGAAGGAATGTTCGCCTAGCGAACATCTGCAAATTCATCTGGTTTGATTCCTCAGGACACAAGCTCTTCTGGTGTAACATTTTAGGGCTCGCTTGGCAAACCATTCTGCTCGCCTAGCGAGCATGACAGCTCAGTAACATTTCCTATAAGTAGCATGGGCTACTTTTTGTAAAAATATCTTTTTGTTTTGTTTTTGCTTCAGAAGTGATTTTTGTGCCCTAGAAACCCATTCTCTCATTATTCATCATCTCTTGACAATATTTTCCAAAAAGAAGGTTGATTCCCATCCAATCTCGATTCATCGACTTAGATGTTGATCAACCTTCTCCCGAAACTTACTGTGCAAGCTATCATGGAAATGAGTGGCTAAATCCCTCTTTTGTCAAGGTTAGATGTAAATGGTCATAAGTTTTGTGTGTATATGGGTTGATCTTCATTTGTAAACTCTTTGATGATGAATGTATGGTGAAAACCTTATTTTATTGATAACTCTTTGTGTTGGTTTATTATTGAAAGGTGTTTTCCAACTCTTTACCTAGGTTTTCATCCATCTATGCTCTTGAGCTAGAGATAGTTTTGAATGTGTTTGTTCACTAAAATGTCAAACCCAAAAGTTGTCATTTTGATAGATTGTGTGAGAAATCAACAATGGATCAAAATGGGAAAAACCACAATGTGTGTTAGAAATAATCACATTGGGAGGATATTGTGAATGTGTTTATCATCTAATGGAGTTTATGAGTTTTGTTTGATCGAACATATGCATGCAAAGTGATCGTCGAACCTTAACTTTGACAATCTTTCTCAAATCGTAAAACCAAAAATTTTATCGCAATTTCTTACTTTTTATGCAAGCTACCGTAACCAAAAACTAAAACCCTTTGTTACTATAAGTTAAGAACTTAGCAACTGTCGAACAACGGTAATATCACATAATCCCTGAGGACGATAACAAATCCCGATACTCTATCCCTGTTCCAACAACTGCGCGAAAGCAAGATCGTCCTGCAGCTTGGCCAACTCGGCAGAAGAACAACTCTCGTCGCTCAGAACCAAGGCCGTCGAGAAGACTCGCATCATAGCAGCAGGATCCTCAGTCAAAACCTGTCTCTGCGGAGCTCGATCTACACCGAGAACCGCCTTTGCCTCCCCGACGGGCACCGCTGGGGACCTAGCACCGTGAAAATAGCCGAGATGCTGATGACACGGTGGGATTAGGAACCCCTCCTTAACAAACCCTTCCATCAAGTCGATGACGCCCTCAGGCGTTTGAATCTTGGGCCGCTTGGCAGCCCCCTGGGGCAGCGGGGAATGACTGCTCTGGGCGACGACGAAGAATCCCTTCCTCCTTGGTTGGCAGAAGCTTCCCCGGCCACCTGGGCAACCTGTGTCTTCCCGGCGGTAGCCGCGACTCTCGAGGCGGCCAACTTCTTCACCCTCTCCTCAACAGAAGACATATTTCCTGCAAAAAAGAAAGAAAGAAGTCAGTAAACAAATGAAAAACGGTGAAGTCAAGGGAAGGGGGTCGGCCACCACCTAGGTAAATAAGGGTCTCCTCCTCCGATGAACACTCAAGCAGAGCCTTCATACTGATCAACCTCTTCTTCTAACAAACGCGCCCTTGACTGTCGCGAACATATCTACTGTCGGGCGTCACCAGGTTCGACGGGGGCAGGCTGGCCACGAACGAGACTATCTTTTGATAACCAGTCAGGTCCTCCTCGTCCAGGGTCCCCGCCCGCACTATGTATTGGTCGGTGCCTTTCGTGAAATGTTCCTCTGTCCACTCCAAGGGCACTTTGGGTACCAAGACGGCCTCCCGCTGCCCGTTCACTACTCGCTCCCCTCTTCTGTACAACGAGGAACACGCCCCTTGGGACACCGAACGAACGACGAAGAAGCGTGCTTTGAAATCCCAGATAGAGTCCATATAAGTCCGAAAGAGCTTCCTCGATTGCTTCAACGAGACCCATCCATGTCGACCATCCACCGTCTGCCTCTGTAGATGAAAAAGACGGAAGAAAAGCAGCAGCGTAGCCCCGACCTCCAGGTGCCTACAAACGAGCTCGAATGCTCGGATGAATGCTATATCATTGGGATGCAGTTGCGAGGGAGCTAACCTCAACCAATCGAAAACCCCCAACTAGAAGTTCGTGAACGGTAGCCTGAGCCCGACCTCTCGAAAACAGAATTCATACATGGAAAACCACATTTTTCCCGAACGCCGAGCAAATGCGGTGGTGTTCACGGGGCTGGTACACCTGCCAGTTCTTGGGTCCGTCCACGGTCCTGTCCTCGACGGTGGCGAAAGCACCGGTCTGATCGTCTACGAAGTACGAGGGTGTCACCAAAGGCTCCTTTGCCATCCATTCCTCGACAGGACGAACTCTATCCTTGACAGAAGGAACTTTTGGCTCTTCGTCCACGAAGTCATAATCACATGAAAAGTAGAAGGAAACGGTGAATTCGATGCCTAAGATTAAATTCACCCATCCACCGCAGGCCAAGTGAAAGGGCAATGGGGACAACATTCGTGACGATAGTAAAGGCCACCCGAGCAGCCGCCCACGGGGGATTCATCCTACATCCCTCGTCGTCCCCAGGATACACGTCTGACCATATCGCGCATCCCTGAGGCATTCATCCAATCCCTATCATGCGTCCCCGAGGAACTCATCTAGCCCACAAATCGTCCCCGGGGCATTCATTTATTCCTAACATCCATCCCCGAGACATTCATCCAAAACTAACACCTGTCCCCGGGGAGTTTAAATACCCCCTCGTACGTCCTCGGCGCATTCATCTAAAACCTAGAAAACCACCGCCTATTGTGGCGGAGATCCATCTCCCTCCTCGAGGCACTCAACACACCCCGACTCCAGCTTTAAAATGCGAAATAAAGAAAGAACAAAGAAAAGGGAACTTATTGGATTACTGGTAACGGCGGAGTACGCCGTGGCGCTGCGGTGGTGTTGACGAACGGATGTAAACAAGTCGATCTTCGCATAAGAGAGAGAGAGAGAGAGCAGAAGCAAAAATGATGAATGGGAAGGGTCCCACTTACTTATACCCTCAGCACAGGACTCGAAGCGTCCATAGGCACTCGAGTGCCCTAGGGTAGCCGCCCCACATGGGCCGCTAAACGCTTGACACGTGGCGTAGGAAACCAGTCATGTCCCTTCGTCCTCCCTGCCAGCAACGTCGGACGAGGACGTTTCCTCGACCTGGGTGCCCGACAACGCAAAGACGTCCACGGTCACACATTCTCGCGAGACACGAGCAGGCAGAACCTCTCCTCACGCACTCTCCCTCCTCAGCCCAACATCATCAAGTCCTCGCTCCTTTACGTTGGAGCTACGACTTGGGGGACTCCTGTTCTGAACTGGGCCCAAGCTTGACCAGATAGGCTCAGCCCAACGATATAGGGGGAAGGCCCTAAACCAGCCTAACAGGGGGATGTCGGGCACAAGTCCTCTATAGACTAGACACAACCCTCGCCATGCAGAGCACCTCTCCCGTTGGGCAAGAGTCTCCCCCGCGGGGCAGAACAACGTGTCCTCCACACGTTCTCCACGTGCCCTCTCCGCGGGGGCACGTCATCAGCCAACTACTCAACCTCCGAAAGAGCTAGTCAACCCAACTATCCAGCCTAACGCAAATGACCGTTGGCCCTGCGCTGGGGTCTTACTACTTACTTTGACATTAGAGTGTCTTGCAGGTACATCCCCCTCCTCATCCATATTTCCTGTGAGCAGCTTGCAGATCAACGGCCTATGGGGATACTTTCGATACAAGTATAAGTCGTTCCCTTTATTCGAACCAAAGGCTCATGATACCACTGTTGGACTTTCAACTAGGGAGCATTGAACATAGTGGAACTTTTTCTAGAGCAACCTTTGTGAGAGACACGCCACATACTCACCCAAAACCTTAAGGTGATAGGTGTATGAGTTCTCTCACTTATAAATGTTCAAGTCACCATATTTCTATCCAATGTGAGACTATTATTCACCCTACTCACACTTGTTAATACTTAACAATATATAATAAAATAATTAAAATGTGACATAAATTAATTAAAGTAGACCGGAACGGGGTGAAATCCGATTTCCGTAATAGAAATTCGAGTTTTATGCACACCCGCATCAAGTTAAATTGAATTTTCCCGTTAATTTTGGGGCGGGTTTGGAAATAAAAAGAAAATAATAAAAAAGAAAATAACATATCAGCGTAATATTGGCAGACACAAACATCACGCCTCTTAACTTGGTGCTCGACGAAACCCTCGCACTGCACTACTACCTCTACCTCTTCAAGAATCTCATTCTTCCTTTTACCATCACCATGGGTACGTTCTCTAAACGCGAATTTATCACCATCTTCTCAATTTAACTTCATTTAATTCTTCCCTTTTTTCCCCATTCCATTACTGTTTCATCTTAATCTCTCATATGTAGGTTAGATCTGCACGTTTCCAATATTTCTTGCTAATTTTTTCATCTAAGCTTCATCAATCGCTTAACAATCAATTATTGCTTCGTTTTGCTTGTTTTTTTGTTTGATTTCTAGTGATTTTGTGTTGAATTACTCAAGTGTGTTAATAGTTAATACTGATACAATTGTGCGTTGAATTGCTCAACTTGTAGTTCAATTTATAACCTAATTGTTAGCTGTAACAGTAAGTTGAGTTTTGCATGTTATGGTGGTGGTGGTTTTATTGCGGGTTATGGCTTGATTTTATAATTACAATGATTTTTTCTGATTTTTTTTTTTGGTATGGTGATGGTTTTTATTGTAAATAGATCTTTTTGTTGCTTAAAATAATATAATTTATAATAACTTTTGATTCCATCATTTTCCATTAAAAAAATTGAAATGATTTTATTGTGTTTCTTTGATTGAATCAAAAGCTTTCTTTTTGAGGTTTTAAGGGAATAGGGGAGTTGGAGGGTAATGTTTTGTGTTTGTTTTGTTTGAATGATAGATATCGAAGAGGACATTCGTTCTCTACAGCTTGACTCAGCAGGTAATCCACAGACTAAGTTCATTTTTTTTGTTTATTTATCTATTTACTTATTATCTATGGGTGTGTATGATTTTTAAATTTTTCTATTCAATCCTGATTATGATAAAGCAGAAGACATAAATGGGGTGGTAAATCCAGAAGACGGGAAGCCAGATGTTGATAATTTAGATAAGATGGATGAAGGTTTGTTGTCCGGAAGTGGTTGGTTTTGTGTTTTTTTTGTGCCTTACGTTTTCATGTTTATATTTTATGTGAAAGTAAATCTCATAAGTATCAAATTTGTGGCATCATTATACTTCATTATTCTTTATTGTCTCTATTCTTTTTTCTTTTTCTTATTTAGGATTGCGTTTAAAGTATCATCATAATGTCATTACCAATTTCTTTGGACATCAACCTTTTTCTGCTTCTTACATCCAATGTATGACAAGCTCAGTTGTGTAGTGTCGTCTGTTTGCTTTGTCAGAACTAGAGAACTTGCTCAGTTGTGTAGTGTCGTCTGTTTGCTTTGTCAGAACTAGAGAACTTGATTGCCTATTATTCCTATTGTTATTAAGTTCATATATGCAAGCACAGTTGTTTCTTCTAGCAACGTATAATGCGTTAGTTCTTTCTGTGTTCATTGTTGATTGTTTTATTGGTTGCTTGCTGCCTATGTTATTTGTATATTCCTATTGTTATTAAGTTCATATATGCAAGCACAGTTGTTTCTTCTAGCAACGTATAATGCGTTAGTTCTTTCTGTGTTCATTGTTGATTGTTTTATTGGTTGTTTGCTGCCTATGTTATTTGTATACTCCTCTAATAGTATAACTAAACCAGGGAGATTGAGAACATCATATAATTTCAATTTGTCTGTTTCAGATCCAAAGCAGGAGGTTCAGGCTCAGGCTGTTGAGGTTGAGCCAAATGGTATTGAAAATTTAGTTTTCTAGTATGTCATAACATATGTATTGTACATTTAGATTGCTGTTTTAAAATTAGACTACTCAATGCCAATTAAGATATCACTGTCTATTTTCATGTCCTCACTCCATGACTTTTATTTGTAGCAAAAGATAACGAAGTTCAGGCTGTTGAGGCCGAGCCAAAAGGTATTGAAAATGTAGTTTTTTAGCATGTATAACATACATGTTGTACATTTAAACTGCTGTTTTGAAATTAGACAACTCAATGCCAATTAAGATATCAATGTATTTTCATGTCCTCACTCCATGACTTTGATTTGTAGCAAAGGATAAGGAAATCCCTTCTGTTCAAGATGAAGAAGCTGAGCAGATGGAGAAAAGGCACTTGAATGTCGTGTTTATTGGACATGTTGGTGAGTTGAGGAATCCCACATGGTTGCTTTACCAGTATATATCAGTTACTACCAGGGTTCCCTTTTGTCTTTTATTCAGCTTTTATCACTGTTCAGTTGATCAAGATTATGGTCTTTCATGTATATCATATGTGCATCATAGGATTGAATGTCCATTGATTCAACTGCATATCAAATGAATTTTAGATGTTGGTTATGGGCTGCTAGAGGGGTTACCCTTGTTGCTTTTTTTAGCTGGTTACTTTCCTCTGGAATTTTTTATTTCCAAGACAGAAAAAATGAATGTATTCTTGACTTGGATGGTGGGGTTTCACTCCTTACTTGTTATCCATGTGGTGACTGACATGTAATCTGTATATGTCCAGTAACTTGTTTGGTTTGATTAATTTGGAGGATAATCAGTTTTTTATGATGGTTTGGAAATAAACTAAGCCAATCCAAAGACAGACTAAACTTGTTTTGAATAGGTATGCACATATCATTAAGCATGTTAGGGAAAATAAAAGACTTGTGCTAGTAAGTGAGGTGATGTGGAAGAGAATATGCACGTGGGATATATTGTAAATGCCTAGACATGTGGCAGCCGGGGAGAGTCTCCCATCTCCTATTTATCTAATATAAGAACTCAGTTCCTGTTACTTTCTTTTTTCACATGACAATACATTTATTTCGGGATTAATTTTCATTTCATTCGCTGTTTAAGTAGTATGGATAAAAGATTTTAAAAGCTACCTTTCTTTCATTGTCTATATTTTTCAAGAATTCAAGAGCCTATTTCTGGTGTAAATTGTAAGTAGTTAGTCTCCCATCTCCCATTTGTCTAATATAAGATCTCACTTCCTGTTACTTTCTTTTTTCACACGGTGATACATGTATCTCGGGATTAATCTAAATTCTGTTCGCTGTTTAAGTAATATGAGTCTTTAACATATTTTAAAAGCGACCTTTCTTGCATTGTCTATATGTTGCCGTGTTCATTCAGAATAATTTTGTTCTAGCGGTGATTTTTTCTTGTTCATCATGCTCTAGACGCTGGCAAGTCTACAACTGGAGGTCAGATACTTTTCCTCAGCGGTCAGGTTGATGATCGGACTATTCAAAAATATGAGAAAGAAGCCAAGGACAAAAGTAGAGAAAGCTGGTTAGCTCATTTACTTTGTTTCTCTGTTGAAATTGTTCTACGATCCCAATGCTGCTTTGCTGCCTCATCATTGTTTTCTGCTTTGCTGCCTCATCATTGTTTTCTGCTTTGCTTAATGATTTAAATTTACATGCCAGGTACATGGCTTATATTATGGACACAAATGAGGAGGAAAGAGCAAAGGTATGAATAAATTTGCTGATAGCATTTAATTGGTTTATCCATTTTAATGTAGATCTCCCACTTTTGCTTGTTAATCATATGAGTTTGGTTAGGACTCATAGTAAGAGTAAGGTTGTGACAATTACAGGGAAAGACAGTTGAAGTTGGAAGAGCACACTTTGAGACAGAGACAACGAGGTTCACCATTTTGGATGCACCTGTGAGTATATGTATTGCTTGATTCTCTTCAGACCAGTTTTCCGTGTCTTGGTCTTGCATGTTCTGGTAGAGTAATAATAGTTTCCCATTTTTGATTGATTATTCAGCAAACTTTCTGACTAAATGTCATCCCTTGACTTTATTGTCATTGTATCTTTAATTGTAAGTAGTATCATTTTTTGCTTTTGTAGTAAACATTTAACATTAATTACATTGTTTATGCAGGGCCACAAGAGCTATGTTCCTAATATGATCAGTGGTGCATCTCAAGCTGACATTGGAGTGTTGGTAAGTTGATATGTGATAGTGATTCTGTTTCTTGTTCTTCAGCATATGTTTCTTCACAAGCATTTGATGATATGTTTATCTTTTCCTTTCCATGTTCTATGCTCATCAATCAGGTAATTTCTGCCCGGAAGGGAGAGTTTGAAACTGGATATGAGAAAGGTGGACAAACTCGTGAACATGTCCAGCTTGCAAAAACATTGGGTGTGACTAAGCTGCTCGTGGTTGTCAATAAAATGGACGATCCTACAGTAAACTGGGCAAAAGAAAGGTTCTCTTACATCTGCGTGTGTGTGTGTATATGCGTGCGTGTGTGTGTGTGTGTATCTATGTGTCTGTGTGTGTGTGTGTGTATATATATATATATATATATATATGTGTGTGTGTGTGTGTGTGTGTGTGTGTGTGTACACGCACACACATATACGAGCTTATACAAAATTGTAATGAGATATCTTACTCATGGTGTTCCATTAGGTATGATGAAATCGAGTCAAAGATGATTCCATTTCTAAGGCAATCAGGATACAATGTAAAGAAAGGTATCTTCTGCCTTTTATTTGCTCTAGAATGTGTGATCTTTATTTTGCTTGTTTATTTGATTCTACTTTTTCTGGATGCTGGTGTAAATGCATTATAAATAGTGGGCGGGTTATGTTGCTTTAACATTGGGAACACACTATATAATTATGATTTATGAACATGGCTGGGGTGACAGACTGCCTACCATAGTTCACTCTTTAAGAATTTCCTATTCTCGTCTAGCGTGGTGGGGAATGTTGTAACTTGCTGGATGCTCTGGAGCTTGAGACATATTGAAGATGGTTGAAAGGTTTGTAGTTTCTTTGTGCACTGATATGTTGAAGATGGTTGAAAAGGTTTGTTGTTTCTTTGTGCACTGGGATATGGGTATTGAGTTCTCAAGGGATGAATGAAGGCACAATATTAACGGGAATGAATAGAAGCTTGGTTCAGTGTTATTAATAGCGGCCTGGAGCGGCGGTATCCTGGGAAGTTGCCCCGTAACGGGAACCCTCCACTACGGAGGAGTGCTGCGCGTCGCAGTTTCAAATCGCGGCCGCTACATGTAGGTTAGTGGGTGGTTCCCGGCCCAAGCGGATTTTGACCTGTTTTTGGGGTTTGAGTTTTTTGGGTGCGAAAACGTTTTGAATTCTGAGCAGCAGCGGTGGAGAAGAACAAAGAAGAATGAAGAGACACAGACGAAGGATAGAAAGAGATGAAATGGTGGAGGCAGATAAATATTTAATCAATACACCCATAATAAACAATTGAGACAAAAGAGGGTTGAAAAGTCAAAAGTCACTTTTCAAAACCCAAAGTGATGTATACCACATGCATCACATATAGATGTTAAAAATACAACACTATGGTTTTTTTTTGAAAAAAACTAAATAATAACAATAATAGAGATAATAATGATAATAATTAACCTCTTAAAAAATAAGCCTTTTACCATACCACTGTTTTTATATAACTTCTCATATAATTATTAATATAGTTATTCTGTTATCCGCTATCCCATTTTTGGGGTAGTCCGCTCCGCTATGCTATCTGGGATTAATAACTCTGGCTTTGATTACTTTTAGGAAAATTAGGATTGAGATTTGTGGTTATTTAGGTTGAGCAAAGGCTATATTGTCCTGCTCTGCAAGTTATTGTGTGGGATTTGAAAAAAAATTATAAAATGGTCAGAGTGTCTTTTTTGAAAATCATTTCCTACCAATAATTTCATATTTTGTGCATGTCTTTTACTAGTTTAATGGATTATGCAAATGGAGTTATTTTAGTATTGTTTTTTTATTTAACAGATGTCTCGTTTTTACCAATATCGGGGCTCATGGGTTTAAACTTAAAAACTAGAATGGATAAAAGCAATTGTCCATGGTGGGATGGGCCTTGCTTATTTGAAGCCCTTGATAGTATTGATGTTCCTATGGGAGATCCCAAAAGTCCTTTCAGGTATTGCATTTCTAAATCTTTTATTGCTATCTTTTCCTTCCTAGTGGTCCAGTAATTCTTTATTTTTAAAGCTCAACATTTTTTGTTTTGCAAAGATTGAACTTCTGACATTTGCAGGATGCCTATAATTGACAAGTTCAAAGACATGGGGACTGTTACTATGGGCAAAGTTGAATCTGGGACTATCCGGGAGGGAGATTCCCTTTTCATTATGCCAAATAAGGTAGTGTTTATAGGGTGCTGTGAGCTTTGTCTTTCTGTTCTTTCTTCTGCCTTTTCTTCTTTAATGAACTTGGCAACAACTGCACATTATTTTGTAGGATCATGTTAAAGTCGTTGCTGTATATATTGATGAAAATCGGGTTAAACGTGCCGGACCTGGTGAAAATTTACGGGTTCGAGTATCTGGTGTTGAAGAAGAAGACATATCATCTGGGTTCGTCCTTTGTAGTGTTGGTAAGGATTTCTTTTCTCCTGTTTATTTAATGTTGCCGGACTTGAAAGAAGCATCACAGGATTCAAGGCAATAGTGCATTTTAGAGGATATTACTAGGGTTTAGGGTTTATAGATAACATATTCTAGAAATCAGTATTAACAAACCATTTTGATGCAATTAAAAAGCAGTTTATTTTGGTAGTATTTCATTTCTTCCTGTTCTTATATGAAAAGTTTAGCCATGCCATGAGATTTTGCCAAACTAATATACTAGACCTCGCAGTTCCCATTCCAAGCAGTTGCGAATTGTATTGCTTTCGTTTGGATTTGAAACTCATCCAAAAACTGTAGTAGGTTTAAAAATTTGTCTTGATTGTTACAGTTCGTGATGGTGACAGATCTTTTTCCATGATAAATGTGCTTCTAGTTATAGTCCATTATATATTGCGGTCTATTTCATTTATGTTGAGATCCATTTGTTATATGGTGGTTTCTTATGCAGTTTTTGTTTCCCTCCGTTTTCAGCAAATCCAATACCAGCAGTTACCGAGTTTGTTGCTCAGTTGGCAATACTTGAATTATTGGACAATGTGTGTATCCTCTCTTTTCAGCATATTGGAAGTTAGAAGTAGTTTCTATGAATTGTCAACAAAATTAACATCTTTGCATAAAATTTGCAGGCTATTTTTACTGCTGGATACAAGGCTGTTCTGCACGTTCACTCTGTAGTTGAGGAATGTGAGATTGTTGAACTATTGCAACAAATTGACCCGAAGACAAGGAAGCCTATGAAAAAGAAAGTTCTCTTTGTAAAGAACGGCGCTGTTGTATTATGCCGTGTTCAGGTGCATTTTTTACATCACAAGCGTGGAAGCTAATTTGCATTGTTTTAATTGGTTGACAATCTTTTATTGACTTGAATTTGGTGGACAATATAAGTAAAAAGCAATTGCTGGAATTGTTATCATGTAATCCAGAGGGCAGTTGTTAAGTATCACAGTTAGCCTCTTGAAGGAGTATAAACACCTGCTATGCTCATCGGCTATGTCCCAGAATACTGCTACTGCAGTCTTAAATCCTAAATTCAGTTACTGATGATAATTATGTCAGTTACATTAGCATAACTGTTAGTCAGATAGCTGTTATATTCTGTAGCGGAATTAGTTGTTAATTAGTATTCTTCTGTCACTTAAGAATATTTGTGGCCAGCATTAACATGTTGTATGTCTGATATTGATTTAATGAAATAATTCCTCTAAGTATTTGGGTTTGGGCTCCACCGAAGAGCTAGCTCATGGGGTGAAGGTTGCTCCCCACTTTTAACCTCTATGAAGGTTGCTCCCCACTGATACCTGGAGCATGAGTTATGCAAAATTTGACATCTGCTGGTGGCCCAATGGATCTAGGATAGACTATCTTTCCATCTTAGAATTTTAGTTTGGGTCTAATTCAACCCTAAATGCTAGCTTGTAGGCCAAGTGTCGCCCAGTCTTCATAACATATTATAATGACTATTTAGGCTTATATCATATCCAATGTGGGGCCCTTAACAATTTTTTGTTTTCCTTACACTCTTTAGTATGATATTAAAGCCGATACTTAGGTTCACCCATGGCTTCTGACCTATCTCCTTTGCTTGTGGATCCTTCTTTGTTGCTGACTATTGTGAGCCGACCACCGCCACACTCTTTTTTGGCGCTACGTGCCAATCACTTTCTCCTTTGTCATCTTGGGAAATTGAATGACACATTCTTCTTAGTTTGGAAACACAGTTCAAACATGCATTGAAGGGACAGTGTCACCATTTCTACGTGAATCTAGCCATTCCTACGAGTTTTCAACCAGATGATTGCAACTAGGTTTCATCAATCTGGCATACACAAACTGTGAGAAACAAGACCAACTATTGATCCATGATTGGAGTCATCACCTTCCTCTGTCACGAGTCTTTCCTCCATGAACTCACTGGTTTTGGCCCTTTCCTTGAACCCGTGCATAGTGTAACATTTGTTACCAGGCTGCTCTTATTATTACATTACTGTATATGGACTTACCAGGGCTATGAATTGATAAGGCTGTTACTTCATCTTGAATGTGCAGAACAGTTTTGAAGTCTTAGAGAGAGAGAGAGATGCATTCATTGCTGATGCTCGTTTGATAATTTTTTTTTTGTTTTTCACCCGGGCCTTGTTAATTAGTGCCCAAGGGAAGGGTGTTTGTTAAGAAATCAAAAGATAAGCCTTATTTAATGAGTAGTATGGTACTTAATATGTTTGTCTTAAAAAGTTCTATTTTTCATTAAATACCCTTTATTTTCAACTCTAACAATGGCAATGAGGTAACATTTGACTTTATTTTGATCTTGTTTTGGTGACATGCTTGCAGGTTAGTAACTTGATATGCGTTGAGAAGTTCTCTGATTTTCCACAACTAGGGAGGTTCACTCTTCGTACTGAAGGTAAGGAATAAGACGGGTTGTTCTACTTGCAAACGTGTTTATGATACTTAAATGTGTTCAAACTGTATGACGTGCTCCTTTCCTGCAGGAAAAACTGTTGCTGTGGGAAAAATCACTGCTATGTGAGTGAGAAATTTTTGACCTGAGGTAAAAAATCATTCAATTTGCATTGTTGACCTGCCCTTGCTATTTGGTTCTTGCCTTTGTTTTTTCAAATTAACTGTGACTAATCATGGATAGGATGACATTCCCGCAGAGACAAATGGAGTGGCAGCATTGGGGCATATTTGTCAGCATGAAATTTGCCAATATCCATTTCATTTTGGAATTTCTTTTGCTTTATCTTGGGGCAGTACTCAATGAAGAGTTATTTGTGCAGCTGGTGCCCATGTACAAGGCCTGGTTGCTTCAGTAATATACTGTTGGCGGCTTCCAACCATCATACTGCATGTGATATATAATTGAAATGGATTGCTATGAATCGATCCACCCGATTGATCGAACAAGTTTTATTAATCGAACAAATTTTCTATTCATAGTTGACTAGGGCACGTTCTATTTGATGTTTCATAAATGATTTTTTTTACCATATCGTTACTGAGTAAACCTGATGGAATTTTGTTGAGTGAGATTTTTAAGTTGGATTTAGCTTCCTATTTCTTTCGACGATGAACTAATTATACCCGGAAATTCAACGTGGTTGAGATTTTTCTTTTTTGAGTGAAACATGTTGAGTTATTATTAGAGTAATTGAGACACGTTCTCAATTTTTAAATAACATTCCCCATTATGTGAAACTCATTTGAAAATGCATATATAAAGGCACTACTAAATAATCGACAGTCCCCGTATTATAACTGCTTAACTTTCACTATAATGGTTTATCCATAATCATGTTATTAAAATTGTTGATTTAAAATTTTTAAAAATAATTTTTCTTATAATTTTTTTAACTTAATATATTTTCTTTATTATAGAATCTAGAGTGTTTTTTTTACGTGCTTAAACCATTAAGTTTAGTTTAGGTATTAGGTATCCTTTTTATGTATTTAAATCACTTAAAATTATTTTTCACCCATATTTTTATTATAGGTTTTATTCCACCACTCTTTTTAATATTATCATTTTTAATTTTATCTTGTATAGTTTTATTATATATCTAATGCAACATTTTTATCTCATTTAATTTCTTACAACATTGCAGTTCTTTTAGTAGTTTTTAGCAGTATATTTGTGTCATATAAAATTTTTAAAGTTTTTTTCTATTTCAGTCATTCAACTTGAATTTGATGGTTTATATTTCTTTTTATTTCTTCATTGTTTTGTATTATAAATTTAAGATGTTTAAATTGCATAATTGGTGGGATGATACAATCTTTAACTTTCACTTTTAGGTGTTGAATAGAGATGGCAACGGGGCGGGACGGGGGCGGGTTTTACTATACCTGCATCCGCCCCCGACCCCAAACTCAATCGGGGGTAAAAATTTACTGCCCAGACCTGCTCCCAGTAGAGAACAGGTGCATCCGCCCCGCCTCCACTCGAAAAAAATTAATTTCTTTTTAATTGCAATAAAAATTATTAATTTAATTAAAAAATTGATTATTTTAATAAAATAATTATTTATTTAATTAGTAAATGAATATTAATTTGATTAACTTAATTATTTTAATTGTAATAAAGGTATTAATAATTTAATTAAAAATATAATTAATAAATAAATATTAAAATAAGTAAAATAAGAGAATTAAATTAAAATGCATTATTCGGTGGCGGGGTCGGTGGCAGGCGGGTCTTAGTGTCTCCCCGCACCCGTACCCGCACCCGTAATTAAATATTGGGTTTTTCCCGCACCTGCACCCGTACCCACTCAAATCGGGTTTTCCCCGCTAATTTCGGGGCGGGCCCCGACGGATCCGGGTTTTTTTTGCCATGCCTAGTGTTGAATTTAAATTTCATATACTCTGTCTTACTTTTATGCGAAAACCATGCATTTCTAATGTTCGTCTTCAACTTCTCATTTAAATATTCTCCCGACTCTCCAAGCAAAACTATGTCATATGCAAAGAATATACATTTTAGTACTAGTTTTTGTATGTGTTTTGTGAGTATATTATAATTTAAGTAAAAAGATAAGAGCTTATGATTGAACCTTAATGCAAAATTTATTGTAGTGAAAAAATAGTCAAACTCTCCACCACATATGTCTGCACACTAGTCGATACTCATTCCTACATATCTTGGATAACTCGAATATATGTAATCCCAACATCTTTTTTCTCTCAGTTTTTTCATAAAATCTCAATAGACACTCTATCATATGTCTTTTCCAAGTCAATAAAAATTTAGTGCAAGTTTTGTTAGTCCATTTCACACTGTTCCATCACACGTCAAAATAGATAGACTGCTTGCATGGTCAACCTCTCAGACATAAGACCAAAATGATTTTTAGTGACTTTAATATCTTTTCTTAGCCTTCGTTCAATTATTCTTCCTCATAAATTTATGGTATGACTCATATGTTTATTCTCAATATAATGATTTGTTCAAAATGATAAGTTATGATTATTCTTCTAAGTCACCATTTAAAAAAGTTATTTTAACATCCATTTGGTGTACTATTAAGTTATAAATAACAAGCACTGAAATAAGTACCCTAATGGATGTAATTCTAGTGACTGAAAAAAAAGGTGTCGAAGAAATCTATATTTTCTCTTTGTCTAAAATCCTTTGCTGCAAGGAGAGCCTTGTATTTATCAATGGTTTCATCAGGTTTTAGTTTCCTTTTCAAAACCCTTTTACAACCAATTGATTTGCAGTCAGGAGGCAAGTATACTAACTGTCAGGTCTTGTTAGAATCTAGAGATTCTATCTCATCATTTATAGCTTCTTGCCATAAATCTGCATCCAGAGATGACAAGGTTTTTTTGAAGATTTATTGGATCTTCTTTTACATTATAAGCCGCATAATCGAGCCCATAATCTTTAGCAACTCTTACTCTTTTACTTCGTCGAAGTTCTGTTTCCACATTGTCATTGCTTTTTGTGCTTCTTATCACATGAATGTGAATTGATTGAGTGCCCCCACTATTTCTCGACGTGAAGGAAATTTGTCTTCATAGAATTCAACATCACTTGGTTCTATGATCACTTTTGCATTTAGTTCATAAAACCTATATGCCTTACTGTTTGATGCATACCCAATGAATACACATTCATATGCTTTATTAGCAAGTTTAACTCGTTTCAGATCCGGATTTCTGACTTAAGCCAGACAACACCAAGTTCTCAAATAAGACAAGTTTGGTTGTCTTTTCTTTAATATCTCAAAGGAGAGATCTTACTTTTTGACTTGAAAACTCTATTCAGGACATAGCAAACAGTCAATAAAATTTCCCCCCACTAGTGAGGTGCAACAACATAAATCATCATAATTGCAATAAAAAGTCCAGTAAGAGTTCTATTCTTTCTTTCTACTTTACCATTCATTTTAGGAGAATGTGGATCATCCGTCTCATGTAAAATTCCATGTTTAATATAAAAATCATTAAATAAACTGAAACAATATTCAGTTTCCCTATCACTACAAAGTATTTAATCATGTTAGTAAATTGAATTTTAATTTCATTTACATACATCTTAAACATGTCAATTTCACAAAATATCATTTTTAGTGATTATGTACAAATCTACCCTAATAGATTGACTAAACGCTGCCTTATTTAGAAGAAAACCAAAATCAAGATTTTTTATAATCTCTGAAGTATACATGACACCCTTCAAGATTAAAGTCTTTTCAGAGATGGACATTATTCCACTTCTCCAATACCGACAATATTAGTGGTGTGAACATCTCCCTACAACACTTTCTTATTCTTGTATGTTTTAAACATTGCAGGATCATAACAGACATGATGAGAAGAGTTAATGTCCATCTACCAATCATCAGACTCACCAATCATGTTTGATTTCAGTGATCAAAGCAATAAACTGCTCATCAATCAAGTTAACCTATGCATTAGGGGAAACACAAGGTTTAAACTCGATCTTTCATTTTTTTTAATCACATGAACTGCTTTTCCAGTGTCATTTCTTTATGGTGGTGATTGCTGCCTATCAATTGGAGTAATTCAGACCCTTGAAGTGTTCTCATTCTTAATTCGGTTCACAATATTGCGGTTTTGATTATTTAATCATTTGCCAAATGACTTCAGAACTATACCAAATTTCTTTTTGTTGTTTGAAACAACCAAGGCTTTTCTTTTTGCTATTGTCTTTGAGATTCTTCTTCAACTTGAAGGCTGATAATCAGACTCTCAGTTAAAAGTTATTTTGTTTTATGGTGAAGCAGAATTTTTAAAAACTTTCAAATTATGGACAATTTATCAATAATAAAATCAATTTGGAATTGTTCATCTAAACACATACCTTTTGTGATGATCTTATAAGAAATTTTTTGAAGTCCATAACATTGAGCCTCCACATACCTTTGATTTATGCCATCTGATACTTTAGGTAGCGGCTAACGAGATAGTTCTTTATTCCAGCTTCCTCAGTGTCATACTTCTTTTGCAGAGCCTCTCCAACCTGTTTTGCAGTATTGCAGATCATATGCAAGTCCATTCAAAAATATGATTTTGTAGAGATAATCATTCTCTTTCCATAAGGCGATTTCTTTTCTGAGCTGGAAATTGTTAGCTTTAATCTGTGCAGCAAATTCAGTTTGAACACTATTAAGTGTTCCATCTAAATTCACAGAATTCTTACCGTTAATTTGCTCTGTTGATCCATAAGGAGCAACAGAAATATCATCGATCATAACATTGGCAACCTTTTCTCATAAAAATTACAAATTTCGTTACCAGCATTTGAAGTAACTTCCCTCAAACTTGAACGGTTTGTTAGAGACAACCGTCGCAAAAGTACCAATAATTTCTTCGATAGCCATGGTAGCATGAAACGTCTTGAAATTTTTGTTTCGTGGTTTTGAAAATTAGCCACAGAAGAAATTACCGGGTCAAGTCATGGACTAGGTCGCTCTCTTTAATACGTTTTGCGACACTACCCAAAATTATGCAAAGCAGCCGAACTACCGCGCCGCCTCCAGGATAAAATAACGCAATTCT